AATATATATATATATATATATATATATATATTCTAATATTTTTGCTTAGGATTGTTTATGCACCTATTAATCCCAAGACTGACCTAAAATAGCCTACTGTCTTGCATACATTAAAATTCAGGGATCTGTTGGCCTAGTTGCTTTCCCAAATACCGCCACATCAATTTTGTATGCATTCCGTTAAACTAGCGAGGGATAAAGAGGCTCACAAGCATTTCTGAAAATACTATGTCTGTATTGTGTATTGTGTTTTTTTTTAATTGCACCCTGTACTGCCCATTTTTGTTTTTCCACCAGGTTCCTATAATGTTAATTACTAATGTTCATTTATCTATATGTTTAGATATTACAGAGATTATTACTGAATGAACCAAATATCCAGACTAGAGCCAGATGTAGTCAGCATCAGTACTACGTAAATTACTACTAAAATGCATCCCCGTTTTGGTCTCTTCTCAGTATGTCACCCTGGAGCTCTACCTGTGTGGTCGCTATGCATCAAATATAATCCATCAGTTCAACCAATTCTCAGCACAACTTAAGCTGGATCTAGAACTTTATCTTCAGTACAGTGGTTATTATTTTTTAACTGCTGATTTATTTAGAAGAGCAATAGGGCTGAGATAGGGAATTGTTTCCTGTTCATGTTCCTTTGAGAGTCTCTGAAGAGGTAGAAAAATAAGTCAGCATCACCTTTCTTTAGACTAAAAGAAAAAAGAAAAAAAAAGTCATGCCCGGGTTATTCATTCTGAGGTGCTACTACAGAACCCGCGTGTGAAAAGAAAGCCTTTCCCACTCTTGTTTTTTTAAAGTTTTTTATTCTTTACAACAAACACAAACATACATAAACAAACAAGAACATACAAAGGCATAAAAAAAACCATCTTCCATTTTATACCGTGTGTCAACCAGTTACCAAAACATTGGTGCCCCTTTCATAATCTTCACTCATTTATATAAATTCTCATATCATCTATTCAAAATATATTTATATACTTATCAATTATCAATTATTAATCATTTATAACTAGTCTATAATATCATTTATTACAAAAACTTTTAGCTTTCATTCAAAATATATTTATATACTTATCAATTATCAATTATTAATCATTTATAACTAGTCTATAATATCATTTATTACAAAAACTTTTAGCTTTCATTATAGGATTTGTAATACATTTTTGTCCATCAATAATATAAGTATATATATATAGTAATTAATATCAAATTTCTATTATAAAATTTCCTAATCCATTACATTACTATATTTTCTCATCC